CCGCAATACTCCGCCGCGCTCCTCTTTACTCTCGCGCGTCGACGCGACACGCCTTCGCTGGCTCCGTTACGCTTCAGAGATGCATAGATATTACAGTAGAGAATTTTTTTTAAACACGTTAGAGCATGGTGTAAGGATACAAGGTGAAGCAATCTGGTGGATGCGCAGTGTCAACCAATCGGAAGTGGCCCAAACCACCGAATTGGCCAATCAGAAATTTGCCCCAACCTTCGAACTGCAAATCATTGCGGTTGAACGCGGGAGGAGCCAATGAACGATTTGCCCCAAAAATTCATCACATGTGCAATGTTTCACCTTGTATCATATTTCTTATTTTTCTACAGTAAAATTTTAAGATCTCCTAAGGTATATTAAGCTCTATTTCGCCTTTGTACGTTTTAAGTTATGAATGTCTCGTTCTCTCTCTCTCTCTCTTCAATTTTCTGATAGACATCACAGCAGCGGGATGCTGACGTCTTATCTACCGCGCGTATCTCCGTCATACTCGCGCGGCATATTTGTCTGTCCTGTAAACTACCACTGTCATCTTGCGCGCGATGAATTATTGTTATTAAGTCACGCGAAGTTCTTCCTATCGGCAAATAACTACTTTCGTAGTAACCCTAGCGCGGAAGCGTCCGAAATAGCACGGTAATCGTTATGAAAAGGAATTCACTTTTTACAATTCTTTATGAATTCGAAACGCACTCGAAAACAAAAAAATCCTTTCCGATGCGAACGGTTAATTTATATAAAGAATTCCTTTTGTGTACGACAAAGTCGCTCGCTCTCTAAAAGTCAATCGGTGCATGATCACTGAAAAGAGTTACAAGTATAGCGCTGAATAATTCTGTGAACCGGTGCATATTCACCGTTTTCAGAGATAATCCGCTGATTGACTTTCAGAGATCGCGGTGACATAAAAACGAATTCTTTCTGGACTCTCGAGAACGTTTTCGGAAATGAGAGGGAAAAGTTGATTTCATAATTCAAATGGGTTCAAAGAGGGATTCTTCTGGGATTCTCCGGGGGTGACTTCCCTCTCGGGGTCGCAAGGTCGGAGGGCCTCGTCGAAAGGTTCGATAATAATGAGATTCGGCATCGCTCGCGAACGTCCTTTCGTGTGCGTTACGTCACGACCGGCAGGCTAAGTAGGTGACCAGCGGGGACGAGTCCGCGGCGAAGACTACGGCGGGCCGGGGGAGGGGGAGGGAGACGCGAGGCGAGTCGAGGAGGCGAAGACGCTACCGGGTGAAAGCATGGGTCATCGTAAAGGCCAGGCACCGGCGTATCTCTAGCTTGATACACGTACAGCCGCGTATCCCCCCTGACTCGCAATTACACGCGCGCGAGTTAAGTTTAATTCAGTTTAGCCGAAAGAAGAGCCGTTTCCTTCTCGCTTTCCTTCTACGGCGCGCGCGCGCGCGTGCGCGTGTATTGCCGCACTCGCGTACGCGAATATTCGCGCGGCGATATATGGTACATCCGTGTACAATACATCGGCAGGTATGCGGATAACGCGGATGTTCCGCGAGCGGTATTGTTTCGTCGCGGGATTTGCGATCTCGCCGATTCGCCCCTCGTACGCTGACAAAGTTTTTTTAAACTAAGTAAATACATTTATTTAAAATTAATTCTCTTTACTGAAGTCAATATTTATTTCTATTTTAAGTCAATTTTTGTAGTTGTTTATAGAATTTTTTTCCGCTAGGGATGCTTCTAACATGAGGCAGCGGTGTTTTTGCTAAATTAATAGGCATTATCTGTTGGTTCCACCGTGAATTTATTACCCTTGAAGTGGAAATCTGTTCGATGGAAAATTCAGTATTAGATCGTGCGTGTAATCGTTGCGAAACAAGATTGTTGAAATTGAACGTTGAAAACCCCCTGTCTTATATTGCGGGACTTTCTTGTATATTTAAGTATATATTTTTTAAACCAATCGATTTCTCCACTTGTTTTGCCCGTAAGTATATTTAAGTCGTTGAAACTGATCGATAAATTCATGACAATGTATTTTATACTTTATCTCGACGTTAGGCATGAAATTGTGAAACATTCGTTTCTCGGTTATATCCCGTATTAATACTCTCTGTACGTGAAACGTATATCATTATTTATGGCGTTAAGACCACAATGCGCCTGCAAGCATCGCAACCCGACCGCAAAGACGCCGCGAATCCTCGCGGGGCGGTCGCGTTTGTAGCGCGCATGGATGGACGCACGGTGGTTCGACCGCCGCTTATTATCTTACGCTTATATCTCTCACGAAATACCCCCGATAGTACACGTAGTTCTACACTGAAAAAAATTTCTGGTTGAATATGGACGAATCAGATAATTCCTTTATGATTTACCAGAATTCCTTTAGGATTTACCAGAATTCCTGTAATCCTACAGAAATTCTGGTAAATCCTAAAGGAATTCTGGTAAATCCTAAAGGAATTATCTGATTCGTCCATATTCAACCAGAAATTTTTTTCAGTGTATGAATATTCTTCTGGAGTGCAAATATTCTTAGGTCGGTATTCATAGTCCGTTCTTATACTTAAGATCATCTTAAGTATACTCTTATTATGTTTTTAACCAATCACAGAGCCGTATTAGCTTCTTAAGACAACACTCAAGATGATTTTGAAAGAAGAATCGACTATGAATACCGGCCTTAATGTGTTTTCAACCAATCACAGAGCCGTAATTGCGTCTTAAGATGATTTTGAAATAAGAATCGACTATGAATACCGGTCTTAATTTCAGAATATTCGAATCGAATATTCTATAAATATACATAGATTATTACAATTAGAAATCGTATATTCATAACAAAGAAGAACGTATTCAGAATATTTGCCGAGAATGTCTTCGGAATATTTGCTCAGAATAATTTTGCAATATTCGTCGAGTTTATGTATTGCACATTTTTTATTGTGTAATACACTTATCTTATGCAAAAGGCAGTGCAAAACCTGTGATCACACCA